CACTTTTAATTGAAATCGTTGAATTATATAATGATCTTGCTACTGGACAACGCGACATTGTCTTTTGTTGGTAACCCAGCCACTTTGGAATCTCTGGGAACACAATGGCCGATTTTGCTGCTAAGGCAGCACTCAACACATCTGTGACACCACTTCCTATTCCATACTCTGATTATAAAGCCGTGATTAGATCATATATCCGAAATCTAATGCAATAGAAGTGGGACACTCAAGTAGGTATCAATAAATTACATGAAATTAAACCAACTATCGGTTACACAACTACTTGGGTTGTCAGTCCAGGTTTGAGGAGGTCATCATGCGACGATGTCGCATTGGCCATACAAGATATACACATGAATATTTATTGAAAGGTGAATGTCCTCCGTTTTGCATCCTTTCTGATGAAAGAATCACGGTCAAGCATGTCCTTCTTGACTGTATTGATTTTTCCATCACAAGGGATAAGTATTTCAATGTCAAAACAGTAAGGGATCTTTTTAAAGTCAACGTGCAACTATCACTTACTAATTGCATTTTTTAAAGAAATAGAATTGCTACTTAAATATTGATATATGGTTTGTAAATAGCTAAATATGTTAAAATTGGTAGTTTAATTGCGCAGCTTAGATTGTGAGTGGCTGTATCCTCACAGGGGGTTGAAATATTGTAAAATTATTGTCCTTCTGTGGAGGTACGTAAGTCCCAAAAACATTCAAAGTAAATTTAAACATACCATTACTTTTAACCGTAGGATAAATGTTGCTTTCAATTTATGGCTCAATTGTCAGAACATGGTGGCAGCTGAAGAGGTGGTGTAAATCCAGCTAGGGTCCATGCAGGAAGCAAATCTACTGTAAGTACCCTTGGTCCCTAGTATGGTGATCTACCTTTTAGTTGTTGGCAAACTATAGCCTGGTTTTTATGTTGTCTTGTCATATATAGTTACAATATTTTAGATTATATTACTAGTTTTACATTTATATCTGTGATAGTCTAGCTGTTTTACTGTCCTTCGCTGACATTTTTTTTTATAATTTACCTTTAATTATTATTGATTTATACCTTGATTTAGTCACGATATGGCTGAAATATTGCCAAAGTGACTTTAAATTTTAACTCACTCACTCACTCTTCTAGATTACCAAATACAGCTCTATTTTCATAGCAGAAGCTAATACCGTATTCACAGCTCTTAAATATATTGAAAAACACCCTAAATATAAACAATATATAATATTTTCAGACTCTCTTTCTTGCCCTCAGGTTATTAAAAATCTCTCTTGCAAGCATCCACTTTTAATAGAAATAAATGAATTATATATATAATGAGCTTGCTACTGGTCAATACGACATCGTCTTTTGTTGGTTACCCAGCCACGTTGGCATTTCTGGGCATACAATGGCCGATCTAACTGCTGAGGCAGCACTCAACACATCTGTGACACCTTTTCTTATCTGATAATCTGATTACAAAGCTAACATTAAAACCTACATCCGTGATCTAATGCAACAGAAGTGGGACACCCAAGTTGGTATCAATAAATTACACGAAATTAAACCAACTATCGGCTACACCTACTTGAGTTGTCAGTCCAGATTTGGTCATCATGCGACGGCCATACAAGATATACTCATGGATACCTGTTAAAGGGTGAGGATCCTCCGTTTTGTATCCCTTGTGATGAGAGAACCACGTCAAGTATGTCCTGCTTGATTGTGTTGCATTTTCCATCATAAGGGATAAGTATTTCAATGTAAAAACTGTTAGGGATCTTTTTAGTATTGCTAATTATCATTTAATTTTCGAATTTTTAAAATTAATAGAACTGATAGATGAAATTTTATTCATATGTTTTGTAGATAAATACATATTTAGAATTGGTGATTAAATTAGAAACTGAATTTGTGAGTGGATGTACCTTCGATGGGGGTTGACGTAGCGTAAAATCATTGTCCTCCTGAGAGAGTACGTAAGTCCCAAAACATTTGAAGTAAATTTAAGTCTACCAGGTTTGTAATCGTAGTAATTATGTCATTTTATAAAAATGCATGGCTCAATCTCAGCTTAAACGCCAATGGCTGAAGGGATGGTGTAAATCCAGCTAGGGTCCGTGCAGGTAGAAAAAGTAATGTAAGTCCCCATGGACCCTAGTATGGTGATCTACCTTCAGTTGTTGGCGATAAATAGCCCATTTTTACATTGTATTGTCCAAAAATAGTTTTCTACTTTTAAAGATATATGCTAGCTAGTTTTAACTCATTTTGTGATAATCTAGTAACTTTACTGTCCTTCGTTGACAGGGTTTTACATATTATCACATTGAATATCGATACGATGCAAATCATATTTGGATTCTCTGAAAAAAGGAACCATGTCCTTAATCTCCTGATAACAGTTGTCAAATTGACCCTTTTTAAAATAAGAACATGTACTTGTACACCAAGTTTCGATATGATCAGAAAGGAAATAAGTAAAATTTACAATATCGAGAGAGCTCTACTAACTTTGCCAAATTTGTTGGATTTTGGTCTGATTGCCATCAACTGTTTGATTGATACTAATGTACAACTGATCCTTTAACCCTACAATGCCATTTGTTATGATATGCTTGTCAATTTGAGATACCGCCAAACTCTGTATACAAACGCATGGTTTATATTACCTAAAAAGATGAATAAGAAAACCCCCAAAAAACCAACAAACTCGAGTTATTCCGGGACAAGCCGAATAGCGACTCGTGCCCCTCTGGAAGGATTTCATATTGACGCAGGAACATCAGAACTACTTCAGACAGGAACGATAACTCTATTATCTGTTTGATTCCAGTGGCACTTGATATCAACGAAGTACTCATACATTGTATTGCTGTTTTTGTTTATTTATTTTATAGAATGAAACCTCTCTGATACAACTAAATGAAGGAGAAAAAAGATTTGTTAAACATAGACCGTTATTATCACCAGCTGTTCACCTTATATTTCCAAATACAGCCGATGGACCAAGGCATCATCAACAACTTAAATGTCCACTACAGAAAGCAGCTGATGACCAAGTTCATCAAGGCCATGGACAAGAAGGAGTCCAGAAACATAACAGTCCTTGATGCCATGCAACATCTACGACAGGCTTGGAATGCGTCCAACCCCAGACAATAAACAAGTGCTACTTACATGCAGGCTTCAAGATCTCTGACCAGACCAACACCCAAGACGATGATGACAGCGACCCTGAGGATGATGTGCCCCTTGCCACCCTAGTTGTTAACAACATCACTCTTGCGAAGTATGCCAGTGTGGATGATGACTTGGTAACCAGCTGCCCTGACAGTGAGCAAGACATCATCCAGAACATGATCGATTTCAGGACCAGGACCCAGCTTCCCAGTGACGATGAAGATGAAGACGAAGTGCCCCCTCCTCTACCACCTACTCTTGATGCCACAACTTCAGCCCTAAAAATCGTCGGGCGTTACTTGATATCGCAAGACGATGGAGATACTGTCATGACAGGCTACAACATGATGGCCAACTATGTTGCAGAGATGAAGAGATGTTTTGCAAAGAGACAATCCCTCATGGCAGCTTTTGTGGAGTAATAAGCTAGACTGTGACTAAAATATTTTGTTTGATTATGTTTAATTTTTATTACTTTGTATTATAAATGTATTACTTAACGCAATGAAATTTTATGGAATAAATCATGTCATATTACTTACAAATGTTGTCTGTTATTCTGCTGTATACATATACATGTAAATTGTACATACATGTGGTTGTCATTTGCAGGTTTTGATAAGTTTGGATAAGTAAAATACCTGATAAGTAAACAATTTTGGCGAGTCCCTTGAAATTTTAGTTATCACGTTGTCTCTGTATATGCATATTTCTGAATCACAACTGGGATTTGTTTTTTTTTGAATATGCAAAAATATGCCAAAGTTAGATTCTTTTGACATCAGGGTCATCAGCATAGCTGACCTACATTGACGAACTTTGACCTTTATGACCCAACACTGCCGCTGTTACAGGTCATTGGCTCCCTCCCTCTGCAAGCCGTCTGCGTTCTGCTGTTTATTTTGTTGACAGTTACATAGACAGATTCTTTAGTACAAATGCATAAAATCGGTGATTTACAATGTGATTAGGTTGTCTGACAAAACATCCACTTGCACAGTTTGAGATCGATTGGGTCATTGGATGAAGAGATATTTACAAAAAAACGGGTCCACATGCATTTCATGCCAAACTATAGATGGGTATCAGTGAACGAGTGTTGGACCTAGGACATATTACTTTCAGTAATTCAACAACAACAACAACAACAACTCATGTATCTTGCATATTTTATTTCTACCTGCTGAGTACACATGCAGACAATCACATAAGACATGATTTTTGATTGATTATGTATTTACAACTACCCCAGAAGTTTGTTGGATGATGATTTAATCAATATGTATTGAAATATGAAATTTAGATGACAATGCCTTTGAGACAGATGAATTGTGTCATGTCCTCACGGAGGGATGACATATTATGAGGCGGACACTCTGACAATTTGGGATCAGGTGGTCAGGCTCGCTGACTTGGTTGACACACGTCATCGGTTCCCAATTGCACAGATCAATGCTCATGCTGTTGATCACTGGATTGTCTGGTCCAGACTCGATTATTTACAGACCGCCGCCATATAGCTGGAATATTGCTGGGTGCGGCGTAAAACTGAACTCACTCACTCACTCTGACAATTTTACCTCTGAAGAAAATATTTTGTAAACATCATTGTAGAAAACACAATTACATGTATATAAAAATCATGGTATTCACATGGTAAATCAAATCTAGAATATACTGATCAAAAGTAAAAAATTATAACTAGCAATTCAATCACTAAGATTTGTATTAAATGATCTGTTTGCACTTAATCCTTTCCAAGGTTATATTCATATAAAAAATAGATGTAAATATAAAATCACTTGAGGTTTGAGAATGGTATCTTTTGGTAAACACACATGGATTGAAGATGAACAGGGACGTATCTGTGATCATTAATCAAAACTCGGCTCCTTTCGTAACCTCCAAGAAGGCTTGTCGACCTATTTGTCACCACTCTCCCCTCTCCGTAACCTCCAAGAAGATCGATATTTGGCTTGTTACGGAATAACACGAGATGGTTACAAATGATCTGGGATAAGTGGGTGCCATGTACATTTTCTCAAATTTGTTTTTGCCTCCATAGTGAGTGAGTGAATTTAGTTTTATGCCGCTTTTAGCAATATTCCAGCAATATCATGGTGGGGGACACCAGAAATGGGCTTCACACAATGTACTCATGTGGGGAATCGAACCCGGTTCTTCGGTGTGACGAGTGAACACTTTAACCACTAGGCTACCCCATCGCCTCTGCCTCCATAGAATTTGGAGTTGAGGAGGCAACAGGAAAGAGGATTATTGGACACTCCTATATCTGGACAATATTGGAGAAAATGCACATGCTTGAAAAGTAATGTTCGACTGCATATTTCACCGGTAGTTTTCATAATGATAAATCAACACAGACACCATCTCTGCCACAGCAGAACCCTGAAAAGCATTCCAATTCAACTGTGACACAGAGCACGTCCAATCATCTGTTCCATGTGTACCAGTAGTCATACATGATGGGTGTTTTATCTTCTAGTAGAATGGTCTGTCCTCTATGTATCGCTGTAACATGTCATACGCCCTGTCCGGCTGGTTGAAGGCGACGATATGGCCTGCCTCTCGCACAATCACCTACAACACACAGGACACAACTACTAAATCCAGCATCTGGCCAAATTCCTCTACAGATGGAACCAAAATACAAAACAGCCTTTTCAAGAATGTGAAACAAACATTCTTTTATCTGTTGTGTTTTCCCCATTTTGGATCTGACGCACTTTGTCCAAAAACAATCATACAAGGGCCATAATGCTATAAAATCTATACAATTTTGAAGATATGGTTTTAAATTCAGTCATCATATTTATCCCAAAATGATGTTGGGATGTAAATTTCCTCCAAGCATCCTCAGCAGTTTCCTCCAAAGTTTTTGGATGGAAGAAAGGAAGAACGACAGAGAGATTGAAAGAGCCCCATCCAGTATCACCACAACACTTGTGCTGGGGGCATAACCGAATAAAAATACTTGAATTATTAAATTACAGTCAATGCTGTTGATGACAAATCATGAGATGGTGATGTCCCCGCTATTAGCCTTATATCTGATGGGTCTAGGGTAGTTAGAATACCCTGCATCGTCGAGGATGATACTCAAGCTGTTGATGACAAACCATGAGATGGTGATGTCCCCGCTATTAGCCTTATGTCTGATGGGTCTAGGGTAGTTAGAATACCCTGCATAGTCGAGGATGATACTCCAGCTGCTGATGACGAACCTGAGTGAAGTTGCCAACTGCACGGACATAGCCTGCTACATCTTTGTCTGTCGGGGAGACTCTCCAGATATGTTTGGTGGCCTGTTTGTAGGCTGCCTGATCTTTCCACTCGGTCATACTGTCCAGCATGGCCTCTGTGGTAGGAGAACACACGATGATGTCCAGCTGTCCGTTGAACAGCAGCACCTGATGACAAAACATGTTCTGTCACTAGACAATATGGTGGGGCATTGATATGGGTGTGTTATGATTCATATTCATGACGATCTGGGTTAAAACTGGTCTTCAGCAACCCATGCTTGTCGAAGAGGCGACTAACAGGATCGGGTGGTCAGGCTCGCTGATTTGGTTGACATATCAAATCTTTGAAGGGCATTTAGAAATGGAATACATAGGAAAAGCAAGATTTTATGGATGTCAACTTCTTTACTGTGAATAACACGATGTTTCGGTGAATTCTCCTGATGAAGGAGCAAGCATACACCAAACGCTTCGATGATGAAGGAGCAAGCATACACCAAACGTCGCCTGATGAAGGAGGAGCATACACCTCAAAGCCTGATTCACCTGATGAGGAGCAAGCAAGCATACACCCAAAAGCGTCGCGGTTATTCACCTGATGAAGGAGCAAGCATACACTCCAAACATCGTGTTATTCACCTGATGAAGAGCAAGCATACACCAAAGTTATTCACCTGATGGAGCAAAGCATACACTCCAAACGCCGTGTTATTCACCTGATGAAGGAGGAAGCATACACCGAACGTCGTGTTATTCACCTGATGAAGCAAGCAAGCATACACTCCAAACGTCGTGTTATTCACCTGATGAAGGAGCAAGCATACACTCCAAACGTCGTGGTTATTCACCTGATGAAGCAAGCAGTTATTCACCTGATGAAGGAGCAAGCATACACTCAAACGCCGTGTTATTCACCTGATGAAGGAGCAAGCATACACTCCAAACGCCGTGTTATTCACCTGATGAAGGAGCAAGCATACACTCAAAAGCGTGTTATTCACCTGATGAAGGAGCAAGCATACACTCAAACGCCGTGGTTATTCACCTGATGAAGGAGCAAGCATACACCAAAGCGTCGTGGTTATTCACCTGATGAAGGAGCAAGCATACACTCCGAAACGTCGTGTTATTCACCTGATGAAGGAGCAAGCATACACTCCGAAACGTCGTGTTATTCACCTGATGAAGGAGCAAGCATACACTCCGAAACGTCGTGTTATTCACCTGATGAAGGAGCAAGCATACACTCCGAAACGTCGTGTTATTCACCTGATGAAGGAGCAAGCATACACTCCGAAACGTCGTGTTATTCACCTGATGAAGGAGCAAGCATACACTCCGAAACGTCGTGTTATTCACCTGATGAAGGAGCAAGCATACACTCCGAAACGTCGTGTTATTCACCTGATGAAGGAGCAACGCCGAGTTATACACTCTGAGCGTCGTGTTATTCACGTTGTGTTATGATGAAGGAGCAAGCATACACTCCCAAACGCCGCGTGTTATTCACCTGATGAAGGAGCAAGCATACACTCCAAAGCGTTGTGTTATTCACAAGCATACACTCGAAACGTCGTGTTATTCACCTGATGAAGGAGCAAGCATACACTCCGAAACGTTGTGTTATTCACCTGATGAAGGAGCAAGCATACACTCCGAAACGTCGTGTTATTCACCTGATGAAGGAGCAAGTATACACTCCGAAACGTTGTGTTATTCACAATAAGAAGTTGCTGCTGCTGTGGCAGCTGGACCAAAACGTAACAAATTTATTGTAATCACAAGTTGAAAACTTTTGCTTTAGTAATATTATAGTAGTTTGTCAACTCTTGTGGGACAACTTCAAGACTCAATAGTTTTACTTGCCTTGTACTTGCCACTGTTGAGCAGAGTAACAAACCAGGGCCTCACGCTGTCCAGGAAGTCGGAATACAGCTTCTCAAATACTAGGTTGCTGGGCTCGGAGTAGGACACATTTCCGACATGGATCGCACGGCGGACTTCAGGGAGATCAACATAGGACACATAGTAGTTCATATCTGCGGGCCCCTGAAACAATGAAGTGACAATCTGCAGACTCCAGAAATAGCAAAGTGACAATCTCCAGACTCCTGAAACTGTGAAGTGACAATCTGCAGACTTCTGAAACAAAGAATTGACAATCTGCAGACTCCTGAAACAGGGAAGTGACAATCTGCAGACTTCTGAAACAAAGAATTGACAATCTGCAGACTTCTGAAACTGTGAAGTGACAATCTGCAGACTTCTGAAACAAAGAATTGACAATCTGCAGACTCCTGAAACTGTGAAGTGACAATCTGCAGACTTCTGAAACAAAGAATTGACAATCTGCAGACTTCTGAAACAAAGAATTGACAATCTGCAGACTCCTGAAACAGCGAAATGACAATCTGCAGACTCCTGAAACAATTAAGTGACAATCCGCAGACTCCTGAAACAGCAAATGAACATAAACACATTATGCACAAAACAATTTACAACATAAACCTGTGGAGTCATAAATCGAAAAGGGTTTTATCAAAATTTAGCATCTTGCATAAAATATTCACTGTATTCAAAGATGTATGAAAAGTATTGTTATTGCTGGCACACTTAAATTCCAAAGGGCACACATAATAGTCTCTTAAAAATAAATATATTTCTCTACCCACACGCCATCAGGCTCACCTGGACTTCCAGAATATTCTCATGAGCAATGTATCCAGTGGCATTGTAGAAGAACCCTTTCCCCAACAAGGCAGCTGAGAAGATCTGCCAAAAGAAAAGAGACAAATGACTATGTTGCAATGTACGGTTAAACGTGAAAATATTCAAGAGATACCTCCACTGTTAAAAGGTACTGATGCTAGTCTGGCTATTCACATCATGAAGAGGGACTGGAAATTGTAACTGGTGAGAGAATATTTCCTTTGACTGACATGTTTCCAGTGTGAAGTCATGTAAGTTCACTTAGAGCGAGTGTTTTAGAAAGTGACTGATAATGTTTGCCATGTCAATAAATATACATGTTTTCATATTTACTGCTGTTACTGAGCATGTGATGTCTGGAAGTGATAACATTTGAAACCCCTGGCTCATCCTGTAGGATCTAGATGGCTAGAAATGTGAATATTTGAAACCCATGGCTAATGCTATAGCTTCCAGGTGCTGAGAAATTCAAATGTTCACAATTCTAGGCAAGAAGTGCTGAAGAGAATGCTCTGACATGCCAAAATTAAAACTGAGGCAATTAAAGTCTTCATGTAGTATATACTAACCGTTGTTGAGGTCCTACAATATATACTTAAAGACTTTTGGTTACTTACATCCATTGCATTCTTGAGTTTTTTCGCTTTCACAAGCTCTGTAATCTTTCCCATTTGTCCTTGGAAATACTGTTTCTCATTCTCATCGAACAGGCCAACGTTGAACAGGTAGTCAGCATAGGCAGGAATCATCTATGAAACATGACGGAACAGAAAATCAGCTTCAGCGTAGCCTGATTATAAATGACATGGAAAAATCATCCCCGCCACCCCAACCTACACATGACGGTAAAGACCCCATGGTGTAACAGGATTATCATTCTTCTAACTGTGCATAACGTATTAGGACAGGGCAGGGTATTTTGATGCTGTTATCAAGCATATTTTGTTGGGGTTTCCCTGTGGTTAAAGCGTTTGCTCGTCATGATGAAGACTCAGGTTAGAATACCCCACATGGGTACAATGTGTGAAGCCCTGAGATATGTTTATATTACATATCAAATTTCAAAGCGAGAGAAATCATTTTGGATCAAATATTGGGAATAAAGGAAACCATTTTTTCGAAAAAAAATCAAAATCATTGTTTCTTTTGGATATACATTTTTCAATCATAAATACAAATTTTATAATCTTTATAAAAAAAACAAATTGATTTCGGCATTGGTTTTCTTCAATATGCAAATATAAATGTATCTTTAAGTGGAAAAAAAGTATGTGATAAAGTAGAGGGTTAGTACTTAGAGTACCAAACCAAACATGAAATTTTGTCAATTGCAATTCCTATATGTTTTGATAAATCCAATTTTGAAGTTCCTTCCAAATATATATTTTTGTTTCATCACACCCCCAACATAGATTTTCATCAGCATGATTACAGAGAGTACACATTAAATTGTCAACCAGTTTCATTTTTAAAAGTTCTTGTTGCCTGAAATTGTCTTTCTCTATGAACTTAATATCTCTGTAAGGAATGTAAAAAACACCATGAGTGGTGTAAAAATAGAATCATTATAGTAAATTTGGAATTTGGTGAAATATGATTCTTAAAACTTGAATATCTTTAGAAAATCTGTGTTATTTATCTCCAATTTCTAAGATGCTTTGGTGAAAGATCAATGGCGTTGAAACTTTTTGTGTTACGTCATAATGTATTAGTTCAGCTGCGCCATTCTAGTCTGCCCCCTCATAATTGAACATAACCTAGGTAGATGTTTGATAGGCATCAGATGTTTGATAGGCATTTAGAAGTTGGTAGGGTCATACAAGACACTTGATATGGATGTGCAACTTCTTTATTATTTACACACAACGCTTCTGGGCTAATGCTTGCCCCTTCATCAGGTGAATGACAGTGAATAGTTACAGAGGTATATATAGTATGTACAGGAAGCCACAGAGTTGTTATTACAACAGATTGGTGAGGGGATTAAGTTAAATACATACTGTTTGTAAAACATGTTTACATAGAGTGAATGACCATAGATGGAAGCCAGTAACGGATATACAGTGATAGAGATTGGGTGATTGAGATGTACAATAATAAAAATTAGGCGATGGGATGTACAGCATGTTTTGGTAAACACCATAGTTGGAGGGAAATTAGTTAATACACCAAGCATTGGGAAGGAAGACACCCTGGTCCCTATTCAACTCCAGTTTGGAACGTTTGATGTGCATAGCTTCCATTAATTTTCGTTAACGCCAATTGCTAATGTGTTGACGGCTAAGATTTCTGTGTGTTGCCAGTTGATTGTATGGTCAGGATTCTTAACTAAGTGTTCAGAAAGAGCTGATTTTAAGTCTGACTTGTTGACAGATGTTTTGTGCTCTTTTATCCGAGTGGCAATAGCCAGTCTCACCGATGTAAGTGTCACCACAGTTACATTCCAATTTGTAGACACATCCTGTTGGGTTAGGAGTGATGTTGCAGCTGCCTTTGCCATTGGCTTGTAGTAAGGTTTTTAGTGTTCTACCGGATGAAAATGTGGTGTCAATTCTGGCCGTTTTCTTCAGTAGTCTGCTGATTTGATGGCTGATGTATCCCACATAGGGGATGTTAATAAAGATGGGTTTGATGATATTTTAGGTTTTGCCATGTGAAGTAAGACATGGTCTTCCCATGGGCTCGCGACTGTCACTGGCGATCTCATGGGAAGACCGCAAACCGACCCACACTGACCAATATATCCACTACCACTCCAGCCATCACCCCCAGATCAAGAGAGCCATCATATCTACGTTAGCCAGACATGCCAAATCTATCTGCACCCCTCCAATCTCCAACAAGAACTAGACCACCTCAAGACCACTTTCATAACCCTCAATGGCTACCCGAGACAACTAGTGGAAACCACTATCAAGTCAACTCTCCAACATCAAGACCGACCCAGACCCAAGCCTGAACCATCACCCGTCCTTATCAACATCCCATATATGGGATACATCAGCCATCAAATCAGCAGACTACTGAAGAAAACGGCCAGAATTGACACCACATTTTCATCCGGTAGAACACTAAAAACCTTACTACAAGCCAATGGCAAAGGCAGCTGCAACATCACTCCTACTGTTTATCATTTGTTTTTCTGGCAACGTGTGCCTTAACGTAGGGGGCAGACGTGACAATAGAACAGCACACCAGTTAGCCCTAAACGAGGATCGTTAATTTAGGTCACTGACACCATCGCTTTTCTGTTTGTTTTCTGCCTTAGATTTATCGTCGGTAAGTATTAAATTTGGGCATCTTAGAAAAGAAATACAGTTCACTCTACCACCATGCATAGTGTAATAAAGCACACTTTCGCCCTGAACTATTATAACGTTAAAGCACTCAAAAGCAAGCGTATAAAAAACATAATATAACTTAATAACCAGTCACAAAAATCCATAGGTGTTAGGCTTAATGACTTAGGGCAGATAATTCAAAATCAATTCATGTGTTTTTTTCATGAATTTTAGCAGTAGTTGTCTCTGAAACCAATCACCACAGACTTCAATATTTGGTGTACAACACTGGCATCAGGTGCCCCCAAATTACATCTATAGTGTCAAGGTCGCTAAATTGTACTAATAGCAACTGTTTGGCAACATATTGTATTGAAGGTTTTGGCCATGCATTTAATTATATTTGTCGTGAGTACATACTGAAATTGGGTCAGTGAATGCTCCTCCAATGAAAAGTCCCTTCAAGTTAATGCTGACTTTGGCTTGGGGGTTCTCCGTGTGGATCTTATAGCTGATAGCGGGAATGTATTTGCCAGCATAACTCTAGAAACAGACATGACAAGCAATCATATCAATATAGGCTTATTATGCTCAAGAGTTTTTACGTTGTTCGTTTTTAACACTGCACTCAGTAATAGTCCAGCTATATGGTGGCGGTCTGTAAATAATACAGTTTGGACAAGACAATCTGGAGATCAATATCATGAGCATCGATATACACAAAATGGATACAATGACATGTGTCAACCAAATTGGTTAGCCTGACCACTTGATCCTGTTAGTCGCCAGTTATGACAAGCAAGGGTTGCTGAATTCTGCATGGATATCCCTTATATGTGTTACCGTATTTGGCAGCTTGACTCCTGAGAGTTTCTAGGACTTCAGTCCTGCCCCACACTGAAGCACATGTGACACATGTGATCTCACCTTAGGCAAGTAAATTTGTTCAAAATTGCCTCAGTTCACCCAGGAGAATGTGGGTACCTGGTGGGATAAGTCATGTGACTATAACCTTCTAGCGCCTAACAGGCAGCTTGGGCTATCTGGGGTACTAATGTGTTAGCGCCATGAGCATGCTTAGTGTGGATATGTGTGCAGTATAGATATGCACTATTATATATTATTATTAATTTTCCTGCCATATACATATATGCTTGTGTGTTTGGTGAGCATATACTTTTCAAAAGAGCTTTAAAACAAACTAATGTACGCGCTTTTGAAATACTATACTCTGAAAACACTTTCTGAATAAAATGAAAGATAAAAAGAAAAAAGAATAATTTTACAAACCTAAACTCACATTACCCTTCAGGTCACACAATCTGAATGTTCGTTTACCTGACATTACCTCCTTAAGGATTTTCATGCAGAAATGTTCTGTTTTGAAGAAAATGATACAATGGAATTAAAATGTAAAACGTAATTAGACTTCCAAGAAATATGTTGTGGGTGAGAAGTGTACCTGTCCGGTGATGTACAGATCGTTCTTCTGGAATTTAGGGAACATGGTGTAGAACTGCAGGAGGAAACTACAAGAAGAAATCAGGAATAAGAAAGTGGTGAGAATCGCGTCAGTGAGTGAGTGTAGTTTTCCGTCGCATTCAGCAATATCCCAGCTATATGGCGGCAGTCTGTAAAGAATCGAGTCTGAACCAGACAATCCAGGGATCTACAGCATGAGCATCGATCTACGCGATTGGGATACAATGATATGTGTCAACCAAGTCAGCGAGCCTGACAACCTGATCCCGTTAGTCGCCTCTTATGACAAGCATGGGTTACTGAAGATCAATTATAACCCCGGATCTTGATGGGTGGTGAGAATCGAGGTGGATATAACTGGGAGATAATGAGATAGATATATTGTGTTGGGAATGTATAGCTATGCTTCCTGTAGACATGTCTGTACAACAATTGTACATATCCTGTCTTGGGATCCATGGTTGAACCCTGTGTTATAAAACACTTGTGTTATACATAACACATAATAAAGGCCAAGTAATATATAATAATTTTCTTGTGCATAGCATCACTGCCATATTGTCGGAAACTTGCACTAAAAACTCACTAGACATGACAATTCACAATTTCAGTTGTAGTTCCTGTTATGTTAGGCATGGATTTACATGTAAAGATAAAGTTAACCGTGTGCATTTGAATTGTCAACTAAGGGGGAAATAGCAATCAGCTGTCTACATGTTTTGTTCCAATCTCCCTGTGATTGTGCATCAGACATAGGGTTACATCAACTATGTTGATCTGAAGAAATCCATATCAGTTAATTTTGATCATTGTTGATCTTCCTGTAACATGGAAAGCTGAGTTTGAATGATGTGACCAAATGCATAAGACCCCAGTACTTGTCCAGTACTTTCTGTAAGGAATACATAAGTGTGCCTGTTTGTTGTTTGGCGTGGTAATCACAATATTCCAACAATATGATGGAATGACATTCAGGAAACCATCCCATGTTGTCTGGGATCAGCCATGTCATCGAGTCTCACCACCTGCCTCAAACAACCATCAGCGGTTGGTGAGATTAAACTCCAGCCCAGAATCCTCAATGGCATCAGGTACATATGATACACCTAAGGTGTGTTGTTTCAAGTACATACCTGACCAATACACAGCCTTATTAACAGGATAAAGTTGTAATTACCTGTAGAGGTCCCTTGCAACATCGTCCTCCGTGGTGGCATAGCCTTTGTCATTGCCAGTGAAACTGAAGCCTGTGCCGACCTGTCAAGCACATGGAGTTAAACACAGCTGCCAGTCTTTGAGGGGATATTCATACAAATAGTTATCGTTATCATGAATAATTTAATCAACATTTCATGAGTATACTTCAGTGAATGTGAGTTGAGCAACCAGTGAAATGGACTATGATGTCACTTTACTTTGTAAAATGAATTTGTGTGTGCTTCAACCTAACTGGTTGAAAACATTGATAAATTTGGATTTAAACACCAGGAATCTCCTGGACTATTTACTATATATGTTACAGTAAATATGTATAATTAGTAAATATGTACATTACTGAAATTTTTAGGAAATATAAATATTTACTGAGATCTACACTGATTCATTATACATATTTACTGATCAAGATCTAACATATACAAAACCATGGAAGCGGAGGTGATTGTTGGTGTTTATCAATGTAAAAATCAGTGATTTCAATTCATGTCAATCCTCTATCTACAGATGTTTACACCACCTGAATCACAAAATAATATTGAGGACAATCTTTAAATAGATTGAAACTATTTGTATTTTGTTTTTGTGACAGTCAGATTACAAACACCTCAGTACTTACAAGGTTGTCAAGAAATCCCATCAATTATTGCTACAAACTCCTCAGTACTTACAGGGTTGTCAATAAATAACAAAGAATGCTTGAGTGACCAGTCAGTCTTCCGTGGTGACACTGGAAAATCAAACAGAATTTTAAGGATTTATTTCAGATGTTTATGTTAGTGCCTGTGACGGCAAAAGAGTCATTTTAACAAAACATCCTGATTTTATCCAATTCAGATGTATTTTGGCAATCCAAAACTAGAAGAATTCATGAAAACTAAATGTCTCTTTTTCAGTTTTGGTAACAAACAAAACATGTATGAAATGTATTTGAGAGGGGTCATAATAACGTTTCGCACAAAATGAATGTGGCCAGTGAGTAGTGGTTTGTGGTTATGTAAGCGAAATATGATCAAATCCTAAAACATATAACCCCATAGATTAAGCAAACAGTCCTTTTAGGAATTATAATAATTATGAAAATATTCAAAGTCTATCATTATGGGAGTAAAATAACAGTCTTCAAGCTCCGACATTTTAAATGATATTGACATGCCCTGTTTATGAAAGCTACCTTTTTATGGTTAAACGATGCTATCATTTTCCATATCATCCATTTTGAAATATTAATTTTGAGTGGAAACTTACATTTCAAGTCTTTGTCCACAATGAACGGTCCGTTCTGTACAAACAGTCCGAACAAGCCGCTGGTCCCTGGACCACCATCAAGCCACAGTATCAGAGGAGCTGTATGGGGGTCAGCATGCTACAATGGAATCAACCAAACCTAATCATTATACATAAATCTACCTTTCTGTATCAAGCCAGAGTATCAGAGGAGCTGTATGGGGGTCAGCATGCTACAATGGAATCAACCAAACCTAATCATTATACATAAATCTACCTTTCTGTATCAAGCCACAGTATCAGAGGAGCTGTATGGGGGTCAGCTTGCTACAATGGAATCAACCAAACCTAATCATTATACATAAATCTACCTTTCTGTATCAAGCCACAGTATCAGAGGAGCTGTATGGGGGTCAGCATGCTACAATGGAATCAACCAAACCTAATCATTATACATAACCAAATCTACCTTTCTGTATCAAGCCAGAGTATCAGAGGAGCTGTATGGGGGTCAGCATGCTACAATGGAATCGACCAAACCTTATCATTATACATAACCAAATCTACCTGTCTGTATCAAGCCACAGTATCAGAGGAGCTGTATGGGGGTCAGCTTGCTACAATAGAATCAACCAAACCTAATCATTATACATAACCAAATCTACCTTTCTGTATCAAGCCACAGTATCAGAGGAGCTGTATGGGGGTCAGCTTGCTACAATGGAATCGACCAAACCTTATCATTATACATAACCAAATCTACCTTTCTGTATCAAGCCAGAGTATCAGAGGAGCTGTATGGGGGTCAGCATGCTACAATGGAATCAACCAAACCTTATCATTATACATAACCAAATCTACCTTTCTGTATCAAGTCACAGTATCAGAGGAGCTGTATGGGGGTCAGCATGCTACAATGGAATCGACCAAACCTAATCATTATACATAACCAAATGTACCTGTCTGTATCAAGCCACAGTATCAGAGGAGCTGTATGGGGGTCAGCATGCTACAATGGAATCAACCAAACCTAATCATTATACATAACCAAATCTACCTGTCTGTATCAAGCCACAGTATCAGAGGAGCTGTATGGGGGTCAGCATGCTACAATGGAATCAACCAAACCTAATCATTATACATAAATCTACCTTTCTGTATCAAGCCAGAGTATCAGAGGAGCTGTATGGGGCTCAGCATGCTACAATGGAATCAACCAAACCTTATCATTATACATAAACCTACCTTTCTGTATCAAGCCACAGTATCAGAGGAGCTGTATGGGGGTCAGCATGCTACAATGGAATCGACCAAACCTAATCATTATACATAACCAAATCTACCTTTCTGTATCAAGCCACAGTATCAGAGGAGCTGTATGGGGGTCAGCTTGCTACAATGGAATCGACCAAACCTAATCATTATACATAACCAAATCTACCTTTCTGTATCAAGCCACAGTATCAGAGGAGCTGTATGGGGGTCAGCATGCTACAATGGAATCGACCAAACCTAATCATTATACATAACCAAATCTACCTTTCTGTATCAAGCCAGAGTATCAGAGGAGCTGTATGGGGGTCAGCATGCTACAATGGAATCAACCAAACCTAATCATTATACATAACCAAATCTACCTTTCTGCATCAAGTCACAGTATCAGAGGAGCTGTATGGGGGTCAGCATGCTACAATGGAATCAACCAAACCTAATCATTATACATAACCAAATCTACCTTTCTGTATCAAGCCACAGTATCAGAGGAGCTGTATGGGGGTCAGCATGCTACAATGAAATCGACCAAACCTTATCATTATACATAACCAAATCTACCTTTCTGTATCAAGCCACAGTATCAGAGGAGCTGTATGGGGGTCAGCATGCTACAATGGAATCGACCAAACCTTATCATTATACATAACCAAATCTACCTTTCTGTATCAAGCCACAGTATCAGAGGAGCTGTATGGGGGTCAGCATGCTACAATGGAATCAACCAAACCTAATCATTATACATAACCAAATCTACCTTTCTGTATCAAGCCACAGTATCAGAGGAGCTGTATGGGGGTCAGCATGCTACAATGGAATCGACCAAACCTTATCATTATACATAACCAAATCTATCTTTCTGTATCAAGCCACAGTATCAGAGGAGCTGTATGGGGGTCAGCATGCTACAATGGAATCAACCAAACCTAATCATTATACATAAATCTACCTTTCTGTATCAAGCCAGAGTATCAGAGGAGCTGTATGGGGGTCAGCATGCTACAATGGAATCAACCAAACCTAATCATTATACATAACCAAATCTACCTTTCTGTATCAAGCCACAGTATCAGAGGAGCTGTATGGGGGTCAGCATGCTACAATGGAATCGACCAAACCTAATCATTATACATAACCAAATCTACCTGTCTGTATCAAGCCACAGTATCAGAGGAGCTGTATGGGGGTCAGCATGCTACAATGGAATCAACCAAACCTAATCATTATACATAAATCTACCTTTCTGTATCAAGCCACAGTATCAGAGGAGCTGTATGGGGGTCAGCATGCTACAATGGAATCAACCAAACCTAATCATTATACATAAATCTACCTTTCTGTATCAAGCCACAGTATCAGAGGAGCTGTATGGGGGTCAGCATGCTACAATGGAATCGACCAAACCTAATCATTATACATAACCAAATCTACCTTTCTGTATCAAGCCACAGTATCAGAGGAGCTGTATGGGGGTCAGCTTGCTACAATGGAATCGACCAAACCTAATCATTATACATAACCAAATCTACCTTTCTGTATCAAGCCACAGTATCAGAGGAGCTGTATGGGGGTCAGCATGCTACAATGGAATCAACCAAACCTAATCATTATACATAACCAAATCTACCTTTCTGTATCAAGCCACAGTATCAGAGGAGCTGTATGGGGGTCAGCATGCTACAATGGAATCAACCAAACCTAATCATTATACATAAATCTACCTTTCTGTATCAAGCCACAGTATCAGAGGAGCTGTATGGGGGTCAGCATGCTACAATGGAATCAACCAAACCTAATCATTATACATAAATCTACCTTTCTGTATCAAGCCACAGTATCAGAGGAGAGCTGTATGGGGGTCAGCATGCTACAATGGAATCGACCAAACCTTATCATTATACATAACCAAATCTACCTTTCTGTATCAAGCCACAGTATCAGAGGAGCTGTATGGGGGTCAGCTTGCTACAATGGAATCCACCAAACCTAATCATTATACATAACCAAATCTACCTTTCTGTATCAAGCCACAGTATCAGAGGAGCTGTATGGGGGTCAGCATGCTACAATGGAATCAACCAAACCTAATCATTATACATAACCAAATCTACCTTTCTGTATCAAGCCACAGTATCAGAGGAGCTGTATGGGGTCAGCATGCTACAATGGAATCGACCAAACCTAATCATTATACATAACCAAATCTACCTTTCTGTATCAAGCCAGAGTATCAGAAGCTGTATGGGGGTCAGCATGCTACAATGGAATCAACCAAACCTAATCATTATACATAACCAAATCTACCTTTCTGTATCAAGCCACAGTATCAGAGGAGCTGTATGGGGGTCAGCATGCTACAATGGAATCGACCAAACCTTATCATTATACATAACCAAATCTACCTTTCTGTATCAAGCCACAGTATCAGAGGAGCTGTATGGGGGTCAGCATGCTACAATGGAATCAACCAAACCTAATCATTATACATAACCAAATCTACCTGTCTGCATCAAGCCACAGTATCAGAGGAGCTGTATGGGGGTCAGCATGCTACAATGGAATCAACCAAACCTAATCATTATACATAACCAAATCTACCTTTCTGTATCAAGCCACAGTATCAGAGGAGCTGTATGGGGGTCAGCTTGCTACAATGGAATCGACCAAACCTTATCATTATACATAACCAAATCTACCTTTCTGTATCAAGCCACAGTATCAGAGGAGCTGTATGGGGGTCAGCATGCTACAATGGAATCAACCAAACCTTATCATTATACATAACCAAATCTACCTTTCTGTATCAAGCCAGAGTATCAGAGGAGCTGTATGGGGGTCAGCATGCTACAATGGAATCGACCAAACCTAATCATTATACATAAATCTACCTTTCTGTATCAAGCCAGAGTATCAGAGGGCTGTATGGGGGTCAGCATGCTACAATGGAATCAACCAAACCTAATCATTATACATAACCAAATCTACCTTTCTGTATCAAGCCACAGTATCAGAGGGCTGTATGGGGGTCAGCATGCTACAATGGAATCGACCAAACCTAATCATTATACATAACCAAATCTACCTGTCTGTATCAAGCCACAGTATCCAGAGGAGCTGTATGGGGTCAGCATGCTACAATGGAATCAACCAAACCTAATCATTATACATAAATCTACCTTTCTGTATCAAGCCACAGTATCAGAGGAGCTGTATGGTCCAGCATGCTACAATGGAATCAACCAAACCTAATCATTATACATAAATCTACCTTTCTGTATCAAGCCACAGTATCAGAGGAGCTGTATGTGGGGTCAGCATGCTACAATGGAATGGAGCCAAAACCTAATCATTATGCATAACCAAATCTACCTTTCTGTATCAAGCCACAGTATCAGAGGAGCTGTATGGGGGGTCAGCTTGCTACAATGGAATCGACCAAACCTAATCATTATACATAACCAAATCTACCTTTCTGTATCAAGCCACAGTATCAGAGGAGCTGTATGGGGGTCAGCATGCTACAATGGAATCAACCAGACCTAATCATTATACATAACCAAATCTACCTTTCTGTATCAAGCCACAGTATCAGAGGAGCTGTATGGGGGTCAGCATGCTACAATGGAATCAACCAAACCTAATCATTATACATATAAATCTACCTTTCTGTATCAAGCCACAGTATCAGAGGAGCTGTATGGGGTTAGCATGCTACAATGGAATCAACCAAACCTAATCATTATACATAAATCTACCTTTCTGTATCAAGCCACAGTATCAGAGGGCTGTATGGGGGGTCAGCATGCTACAATGGAATCGACCAAACCTAATCATTATACATAACCAAA